ACACGCTGATCAGAATAAAAGCGCGAGCATATGCTTTTATTCTCCATTTTTCATACATAAAAAATATAAGTATAAAATTGAAAAGCTAATTCTATCATCAGCAATAGTTGGGATTCCAGCTTAACAAGGCAATTGATTCCGATCCCTCTCTCTCCCGTCCATTTCTGCCAAACAATTTTATAGTCTTCTTCGATGTATTTTGGTTAAGTATCTTTTAAACTACGAAAAAAAAACAATCATTCAAACACTGGTCACGATAAAAATAAKCAGAAAAATTATTGCGGGATACCTGTGTAGGAGGTCATTTCTAGTTCGATCTCTCATCGTTAGCCAATCAGGGCGCGAGTATTAYAAAGGCCCGTTTACACTTGAGATTTTTGCAGAGCGATTCTCGCGGCGATCGTCGGTCGACCATCGCCTGAGTTTCAAACATGCTTTAAAATTGGCTKCAACTTTGGGGGGATTTTTTATCRTCACAACAATCACATGCAGGGCTGTTAAYGTTTACACGTACGCGATTTTAGTTGCGCGTCTGCGCGATAGCAAAGTGGCGATRATCGCGCTGCAAAAATCCGAAAGTGTAAACGGGACTGCTTAGGATGGGATTCTATAAGAATGAATAGTTTCCCTTTGACCCCGGATAGTCTTGCAGAAATTTAACAGTCTTAAAATCCTATAAAGTTTTGATCTAGTGTAGATTCACTTTTATTAAAATAACTATTATCCGACCAAAAATGGTTACAATGCTTCCTCATGTGGGAGAAATTGGGGAGTTTCCTTTTCAGGTAACATTAACGAATGTAGACACTAAAGTGAGACAATTGATTGTGTACACAGAAAATATTGTTTAATCACGTTTTAGAAACTGCAAAACTTCAAAATTAAAAAAAAAATCATTGATTAATCTACAGAAAATACTGATCTTGTTGAAGTCCTTTCCGCGATAAAGTTTCAAAAGGGCTCTACTGAATTATTACTTGAGTCGCTAGTGTGGACACTCGGACGCAGAAATCGTTATTATAGGCGAGTGTGGTTTATAATAAGCACCATGTATTGAATTTTCATTTCGACAGGACGACCCATACGCCAAGCTGGCAAAATGGACAGCTAGAGATTTAAGATGCGAAATTGAATTTGCTGTTTTTTATTCACATTTATAAAGTTTTATGAAAAAACATCCATTAGTGTTTACATTCTTGTATGTACAGATAAAGAAAATGTTCCTATAACTTTTTGAATAAAACCCATGTTCTTTACGTTAAAAGCTGCAGTCGAGCTTTCAGTAAATCTTGAGAGAAAATTCGCATACACTGTTATTAATACTGTCAGACATGYACTCCAGACAGATATTTTATGATTTTAGGAAATTTGAGTTCATAAATACTCTTCTAAACAATTAAACTGAGCTGAAACCCGGTCACTAGCTCTTTACTGCTAGTCTTCATCGAATCATAGCCACTGTAAACGAATCGAATAGTAGAGACCAAATTAATCTAAACTTGTATATTATTTATCTTTCAAGTTTTGGTTCACTTTTTTAACATGAAGAACAATTTTTCATCATCGAGTATTAGTGAATCTCGACTGAAYATTGGACCAACGTTTGCCRTCTCGTTGATTGTCGTCAACTCTTGCAGCTCCTTTTTGGCTTCCATCTTGAACTTYTTGATCATTTTGACTTTTGTCAAGACGCCCTTATTACGGAAACCTTCGTATATTCTTATTCTTTGTTTRTCMATCGCCGACTTTGGTGTCGGTGCTGTAGTGCAGCCGGTATACTGCGTTGAATTGTTTGCASAAATGAAAGGCTACGAATCAGTTATTTGTACGGCGTTGTACATTAGAAAGTCTAGTTCATGGGTATTAGGGGCTTCATCTTTGTCGACGATCACTGCCATCACCATCGACCGTTTCCTTGCTCTTCACTTRTATCTAAGATATCAAGAACTTGTTACTGCCAAGCGGTCGTATATAACCGCCATCGTTATTGCTATTTTAAGTGCTTTCGGGATTTTAGCTGTATGGTTTCACGTTGCCGCAATGATCTTTGGCTTTTGTTTCAGTGTTCTCTTTTTGGTTAATTTTGTTCTGATGGTGAAAATTTCTCGATCCTTAAGTAGACATTCTGCAAATATTCATCCACAAGAGCAAGCAGTACGAGGAAGCTTGAACCTTCCACGATACAAGAAGACTGTGAAAACAATGCACTACATCATGGGGACATTTGCAGTTTGTTATATTCCAGTTGGTATTRCGAATGGGCTGCGTCTGGCACACTCTGKAGTACCACCTTCTTTGAATGTTGCACTGAYTCTAACCAACACACTCTGGTTGATAAACAGTGCRTTGAATCCAGTYATCTACTGCTGGAGAATACAAGACATGCGAAATGCTGTTGTGCAGCTGTTTCGAAACATTTAATGCCCGTACCGTAAGCATTAAGACGCATAAACATGATTCAGATTCAATTATTATTGTTGCACTGTATGCACGTCTAAATTGATAGAAAATAGTACTGTTTCCTATCTTTACTCTTGTCTTGTCTTGTCCTTGCCTTTTTCTTTTTGTATGCTTTCTGGTTCCACGGACAAGAATTGTAGTTCATTCACCATAAATTTAACATACGGAGATCAGAAGGATTGAGTCCGAGGTTCAGTTTGCTTTTCGACCAAAATCGAAGGCTGAAGTACAAAGTAAAAGTTATTGATTTTTTTTACTTC